TTTCACAAAAGGTTAAAAAGTGAATGTCTACAATTTAGACAAATTGCAGGAAATGTTATTAAAGCAATTTAGCAGGATCAAAGCAAAATCAAATAGTAATAATCACAAAACAACAATCAAATCACCTGAACTATAATTATCTTATTAACTGACTCTGAGCTAATGCTGATTTTATTCTTATCTTCCGTGAGGAGAGGTTGGAGAAAGGGTGAGCACAACCAGGCCTAAAGATGCACTTATCCCCGTGTTCTGAGTTGATGATAATCACCCAACAGGAAATGAGTATCCCTTGGGAATTTAGTGGAAGTATGTTGTACACACGCACACACATACACACCACACACACACACACGCACACACTAAGCAGAGAGGAAAGCCAAAAATATACAACCATTTTGCTGGTCCACAGGTCGGGCTGGGTCAGTCCCTCTAGCGTCTCTGCTGTAATTTTCAACTGTGAACATCTCAGGTCAAATCTTCTGAGCTGCTCATCTCACAGAAGACAAAGGGGAAGAACCCTATATCTCTTCTTCACTTAACTTTTCACGTTCACCCTTTCTCCCCTATGTATCGGAATTTCAGGAGCAGGACCACGCCTCCAAGCACACTCCTTCCGGTTGTCATCTATATAGGTTCCCCCAGTTCTGCAAGCTGTTCATTCTCGTTTACGTGCCCCACCCTCCCTCCCTCGTTGTTCTCAATTCTTTAACTTCTTCACTCCTATTTACTACGTGGGGATCTGCCAGGCCCGGGCGCTGCCGCCAGTCCCCTTCGAGGCCTTCCCCACACCGCAGCTCAATTCATGTCCAAGCTTTCACCTTTACCTACTAAAACGCTGTCAAACTTAAAATGAGGACGTGGGCCCAGCATTAATATCTAATCCCCTGATGTCCACCCACATCTTATCTATCTCTATTTATCTATCTGACTTACGTGATTTAACACAAAGTTTAAAGTTTAAATTTTAAAATCACTTCATTACATTTCATGTCATTGTTAACACAGAAACCCCATCACATTTAAACATTCAGTCACATATGGATATAATTCACTTCATGTTTCATTCAGTTTATGTAATTCTACTTCAGTTAGATTTGTTTTTAGCAGATTCTCAAATGAACATTTGTTGTAACATAATCCCTTTTTAATTCAAATACAGAGGAATACTTTCTTTTACTTTCTTTTAAAAACTGTGTTTGTCAATCATTTTTTTATTCCACTTTTTTTTTTTTAATTCTTCTTTTTTTTCAAAAAAGTCAGACATTCATAGACTGGTGGCTCCTGTGTGTCACTTTCACCCCTACCCTGCACGACACACACATTCACACACACCCACACATACCAAGGTCAGACTCTGTAGAGGTTCTCAGTGAGGTCTGTTATTAGAATCAATGCACAGGTTACATTTTCTTATTTAATATCTGGGTTACACTTACACCTACTCATTTTCAATATACCTGATGATATTCTGAACAGTATTAAGTATAATTTACTATCAGCAAATTCATTCATTCATTACAACTTCACATCACCTGACAACATGTGATTATCCTAACAAGCCACTGTCTCATATCATGCATAATGTCTTAGGTTCTACTCTTCCCAGTGATCATCCATGGCCACTTTGTTCAAGTGGTACATAGTGAGTAATGGAGGAGGATGAGACTAAGGTATAAACCAGTGTGTGGCACAGTGACTGATGTACCACGACGACACAGAAAATAAATAAATAAAAATAAAAGGCAAGCATCAGGTGAGCAATTTTCACTCAAGCGAATGGGTACCATCATTGAGTCTGTTGTTTGGTTGCTATTATTCGTACATCAATGGCACCAGCAGGCTGGAAATGATTAAAGCTCTTTGAGGTATAGAAAAGCATGTTGGTCTTAGCTACCGCCCACCTCCTGCCTGTCCACTCACATCACTGTCACTAGTCGCAACAATAGCTGGCACTTATCTGATTGGTTGACTTCATGTTTGAACTCTCTGAAAGCAATTGTATTAGTTGACATGCAGTGACACAAGCTTTATTAGATGACATTGTGTTTGTTTCTGGTGATCTGGGTTTGATTGGTTGACATTTTGCCCGACCCACAAGAGTGATTCTCTTTGACCTTGTTTGTTTTTGCATCAAGTGACTTGGTTGGTCTTTTTAGATGATTGATATACGGTAGATTGAAAGACAGTTTAACTGAAATGCATGCAACGTCTCTTCTAAACTGGTTATATTTGAGCTACAGGATTGGTTGTGTGCATTTCTTTGTCCCATAGGATTAAAGAATGGGTTGATCAGATGCAGAAAGAGCTTGTTACCCTGGCAGACACAGCTGCAGCTGGGAAGAGCCTCACTCAGGTATAAACACCGGAATATACACAGACATGCATAAAATCTGAGCATAATCCTATTCCTTTCTTAAAATTTAAGTCAACCCCTTGTATATTTTCCCCTAAATGTTTAAACTCTTAATTTCCTGTGTAAATTATATTTAGCTTTAACAATAATTTAAACAAATGAATGTGTGTAAAAAAATGTCTTTTTTGTATTAAAACAGCAATTACATTTGTCTTTCTCCATGTAGATTTTTCTGAGTAACCAGCACCTCTACACTGTGGAGCAAAACGATGCGGAGGAGCTAGTGGCCAGAGCAGCCAGGAACATAGAGCAGCTGCTACACAAGAGGTCTGCTGCCTTGGAGGTAAAATTCACTCCTCTCAAAGGAACCAACTGTCAGTTTGCAATTTGTTTGTAGCTTTTGATGCTGCACAGGACAAACTCTTCTAGTGCCATGACAGCGACCAGTTTTCCATCTGTTCTTCTCTAAGACTCCACCATGGATATTAAATAATCAGAGTGTGATTGTAAAAACCTAAAGATAAACTGGAGCACATTAGGTTTTGGTGACACAGGGATGTTTGTGGTATTTAGTCAATGTAAAAGTAATACAAATAACAGCAGATGAACCGATTTGTCATTCAAGTGAAAATCGCATCAGGAATTCACTTTGGGTACATTTAATTCATTTCAGACCAGGGATGAAAACTGCCAACACGGATAAAAGCAATTTAAAAAAGATGATAAAAAATTAAGTTGTTTTTATGTTTGATTTGTCTTGAACAAGCACGACACCCTGTGCTATGTGTAGATTTTGTGACAGTCCCAAAACTAAAAGCAATTAGATACAAAAGCCTTCTGTTTTCTGAGCTGCATCTGTCACAGACAAACTTGCAAAGTCATGATCATGTGTTATTAAAGGCAACAAAAAAGTTAAAGAAAATTCAGTCTCTATATAGCATACAAATTTAATAAAGGTAGCTGAATTATGTTTATTGATGCATATACTGTATGCATCTGACTGGAGATTTAAATCTTCACATACATTGATCTACATCCACATACAGTAAAACGAAGTTTAGTTGAATATCCAACAATCACACCTACCAGCACAGCAGTTGTAAATGGGGAGAAATTATATTATTATGCCAAACTGAATGATTGCTTTTCCTTAAGTAGGACACAACATATAACTGTAACAGCATTATTGTGTAAAGCATGAATAGTTAAGTTGAGTAATTCACAAGTTATTGCCCAAAACGTAACACATAATTCTGCATTAACACCACCATCTGCGCATTATCTGTTTGTTTGCATATTTTTCTGGCTTAGTTTTCCAAATGTGGTTGTTTTTTCTTTGGTTGAAGTCCAAAGCCTTTAAATAGAGTATCATTCAAAACATTTTAGAGTGGTTTAGTAACAGGATCTCCTAGTTGTTTTAAAGTACACAACTACCCAACAGTTGTTCAGAACAACCTTTAGGAGGTCTGTATGTTATCACAGTCTAAACCCGAGGAGTGCGTATTACTTTTGATGGACATTTTATAGCCAACTAATGTTTCTGTTATAAAGGTATGTGTGTGTGACGATTTATAAATCTAATTTGGCTCCATAGTAGAGGATAGATGCTGTATGCTAAAGGAACAGTGGGTGAAGCATACACTTAAAAGAGTAGAAAGCAGGGACTGAGATCTTTCTTCTTTTGGACTGAATGTGATAATGAGAGCCTCGACCCTCGGGATGTTCTCCCCCCCCAATTTCTTTCTTTCTTTTTTAGGGCAGAGATTCTCATCTCCACTAGGAGTCTGAATAGCAAATTGCCTTACATTGCCTTTTTAAGGCCTTGCAGTTGTTGTCTAATTAGTAATGGAAAGGGAGTGTTTATGAATGTCCATAAACATGTGTCCTGCCAAGTGTCTGTCTTTTGTTTGTTAAGTAAAGCCACTCATGTTCTTATCAATTTTCCGAGTGCTGGTGCCACGAGATGCATGAGCAGCAAAGTGAGTATTGGCTCTACTGCATGGAAAAGCAGTAGAAGAGAGAAATGGCTGCAATACTGGGCAATGTTACGGTGTATTTTCTATGTGAAAAGTTCATAAGGGTAGGTGGTGGGTGGGACGTCAACTTTATGTTGACAGTTGATCCAACCTCCACACATCGATCACGTCTCACTCTTTATTATGCCTCATCTTCTTTTATGAGTAACCTCAAGGCACACTGATATTGGATTCTCTGTCATGAGATGTATAGATGAGAAGATAAATGATAAATGCATGCTGGGAAAGAGAGGCAGGTCAACATGAAAATAATGGCTATGTGGATTGATGGACAGATAGACAGTGAGCAAAGGATCATAGTGAGAGCAGCTGAGGAAATAAAGAAGGCTTTTAGCGAATAGTGCGATTGGTTTCCCTTTTGGGTATAGTCTTTCTAATACTTGCAGACCGCATACAGTAGAAGTGAGAATAAACACCAGCAAACTCAAGCCAGAAGATAGTATACAGGAAGCAAACTGTCCCACTAGATTTCAGTTGTGCTTTGAGATTTTTGCTGACCAATCTTCTAAGTCAAAGGAGGGCTTTTTGCTCTAAACTTTATTAGGCAAAATGCAGGAAGCGAATCTTCATTGCAACTGGGACTTCCTTTTTTGCTCAGTGCTTTTGATATGAGGTTGGAAGTGACTCGCAATGTCAATATAATTGGAGATTGCCCAAGGCACTCAAGCCATTTTCACTTACTTGACAAGTGCTTTCAAACTTTCATCCTCCCGTTGGCTTTCGTCTTTCTCTTTCTTGTGTCTTGTCTGTCTCTCTTTATCTGATATCTAACTCCGCGTGATGGATGACCTTCCAAAGGCTGCAGCTTACCTAGCCACAGGTGTGTGAAATAAGTGTCCATTTATGTGTGCCTATTCATGCTTTCATAAATAAGTGTGAGGCAGAATGTAGCATGCATTATTAATATGTACTTGGCTGCACACTGCTAGGAGAGATCACTTTATCAAAGGTTTTACAATGGATACTGTGGCTCGAAGCCCAGTGGGGAACACTCACACATTTAAACATGGAAACATTCACCGTTTGGACTGTCCACCTGCCCACTCACTGATCCACCCACTATACATCATTTGCTACATAAAAAACTCAATAGGGGATATTGGCAGACAGTTGTTTGATAGAGCTTAGGCACTGAAATGTAGCCACCTACACACGCATGAGCCAAAGGGCCAAAGTACCAAAAACTCCTCTATAAATTTATAATAAATTCTAATGAATGCATATTTGTATCTTTAAATTCAGACCACTTATTGTTGATTTCCATCTTATTTTTATTCTTGTTACTTTTATTATTATTATTATAATACAGAGAGCATAGTCCATATGCTTAAACAGATTTCCATTATAATGGGTTTATCTCAACCAAGAAAATTCTTGCCTCTTACGCTGAATAAATGGCTATCACACCTTCATAAAAAACAGTATGAAGCTGTAAAAGGGTCATTAGAGTAAATAATTCTGCTTAGGGTGATATCATAATGAAAATCTTGATGTCAAATACGGTTGACCACTCGGCGAAATTGTGTGAGACTGTCTTGGCTTGAGTCAATACATCTTGGAGAGATGAGTTTATTCACAACACATCTCTCCTTCCTACATCTTCAGCTTGTTATCTGTTTCCCTGAATGCCTAAGTACACTGTAATTAAAGGCTCAATTATTGATACAGCTAAACTTGTGCTACAAAAGATAAACTAAATAAACACTGAAGAAAGACACTGATGCATGCTCACACATAAAACTCCCTCTTTAGTATACCTACTGCCCACACAAGTGCCCTGTGATTGTGTGGGGTCCCACAGTTTTTTTTGGACGTCCATTTGAGGTTTGCTTCATTGATAACATCACTTGAACTGAATGTAACATAAAGCAGATGTTGAGTTTTGGTGTTGCAGACTGAGTTATCACTCTAAATAATATACTAGCATATTTTTTAGACACTTGCTCTTTGAATGGGTTGTTCTCTACATCCAGAAACCACATATCAGCCGCAGTTATTTGTTTTTACTTGAACAGTCTGCATGGGGTAAATGTGTGTGTCTACAGTACTGTATGTGTGTGTCTGCACAATTCCTCTTTTCTCCTGAGGTGAAGGGCTCTATCCAGTGACTAATGAGCCACTCCACAGCATTACTTAGAGTAATCCCTCAGCTTGCAGCACACAAAAAAGGAAAGAAAATCTACAGGACACAGGTGGTGGTGTGTGAGACTCTGCGCTGTAAAATGGGGTGTGTTGGTACATGGATATTTGCAGATTAATGTGTCTTTGCTAAATAATCTTAATTTTACAATGTTGGCAACATGATCATGGAACTCTCTTACAGAATAGCATTTAGCAGTAAGTTGATAAAATACTTAATTTTTTAAATATTTATTTTATTATTTTGATTTAATGCAGTCCACAGATGGATACAAGAAAATCAAAAAGCCACAGTGTGTGGCACATACACTACTTGCTGGCCTTTTAAAGCTAAATGAAATAGAAATAACAAGAAGGAACAGAAGGGGCACTGTCAAGCCCTACAATGTGAGCTCTAGTAGGCTACTCATGTGCATGTTTCTGACCAAACTGTCAAAATCAGACTCATTGAAGGTGGTATGAGGAGTCAGCATGCTTTAATGGGACCTGTGCTCATGCAGCTCGATTGGCATGCTAGATAACATTAAAGCTTGTAGGTCCACCACTGGTCGCAGTTGCTTTTGCAGATGATAGTGCAGGCATTGCAACGTTTGCCACCACATCTCCAGACTCTTTCATGCTTGTGACATGTGCTCAGTGTGAACCTCCGCTCATGAAGAGAAAGATAAGAAACAAACCAGAGGAAGAATCAGTCATGTCTGTGACCACCACCTGCAAAACCATTCCACTTTTGGGGCTGTCTTGTTGTTGTCTTTGCAGTGCAACTGTTGTCACTCTGCATCAGATTAATTCACAATGGTTTATGCTTTCCAACTGGAAAGATTTTAAAAAGATCTCTGAATTTTAACTGAGTTTGTGTTGCACTGAAATGATCAAGTGTTCACTTATTTTTTACCAGTGTTTTCTAGCTGCTAACTAGCAGCTTATGTGTAAAACTCATCTTAATAAAAAAGAAAAAGAAAATCCTGATTCTGAGGCCCAGTCGATGTGATCTAAAACATTGATTAAAACTTTGCTGTTAGAATTTCCTAACACAATTAGCCCACTGTCTTTAATTATATACCTTGTTAGATATGTTAGCTGGTACAAAGTTTTCGTCTTTGTTATTTGACTGTCAGACTGACCAAAATACAAGCAAATCAATGACTCATTGACTACTTTGACATTCTGTAACTTTATTTATAGTAGACATAGAATAA